ATAATGAAGTTATTATGAATTTTATTTGACTTGTATCCGAAATGAACATGCATAAAAAGGAGCAGTCAAAAAATCAAATAACACATTTCATTGGGCAAATATGCTGTAAAAGACCTCTTTAAAGTGTTAAAAAGCAAAGACGTCATCTTGTGAACTAAGGTGAACCACGGCATTTTCAATCAATTCAGATGCATGCAATGGTTAGACAATAAACAAGGAAGCCCAGAGGAGAAATGATACATTGGAATGATGGTATTGATAAATGATATTGAATATACTATGAATTTCTAGAACATAGACACTTAGTCTCATGCACGTCTGGCATTTTATTAGCTAGAACCAGCCCTTAAAGAAGGTTATCATTCTTGGTAGAGAGTCTGTGGAAAAGAGGAAGACCCTGAAACAGAAGGATTGACACGGTGATTGTGAACTCAAAGCTATCAATGATGATGAGAATAATGCAGGACAAGGCACTGTTGTATGGAGTTGTACATGAGTTACTATGCATCAGAACCAATTATCCAGCATCTAACAATAAACCGCAATATGGTCTCAGAAAATAATTATATACCTAACAAAAACCAATAGATCAAATGATCAAAAAAGTCAGCATTTATATTATTGGTGGTTGTGGTAGTTACATAAGCTTGTGTCAATTTGAGAGGATTATGAGTGAAGGAGTCTCGGCTGTCAATCAGATCATAGCCAATGCGTGGACAAGGCCTTCTACTGAGATTTCTGGGAAATCCTGTATTCCTTCTTGGAGGCGGGAGACACTGTCTCTCTCAGTTCACTCCCTGGGAGACTGCAACTGACAAGACACTTGGAACTAAGCTAGTGCCCTGAGCTGGAGCAGTCACATGGACCTATTCTGATGCAGCTCTTAGTGCTGGAGAAGCAATGTGGAGACCCCTGCCAGTGCTGAGATACTTACCAGGCCACTGGGCCCAGAAGGCTTCCATCCCACTGGCCTACGATCTTCCTGCATATGGTATCATTGCATGTGTTTCGTGAGTCATAAGAGGACTTTACAGATTGGTATCAGATATATAGGCTAATATCGGACTTATAGACTAGATCTGGACTGGGATAGGATGTTTCTCAATATTTAACTGCTCTTGTGTATAGACCTTTTTTCTCATTCACATATGAGTTTCTATGGATTTTTTTCTCAGACCTTTATGCTATGTAGAAATATTCATTCTGTGAAGCAGAGTGGCTGGCTACACTGACTATAGATGTATGTTTCTAGGCAGAGTGACTTTTTTTGATTTGTATATATAATAGAAGGCTTTATTTTCTTTTGTAATATTGTAAGTGATGAAATATTTCAAAATATGCTACTTAAAGCCTTAGATATATTTGTGTCTGATCTCTCATATGCATTAGACTCTGACAACACTTGAATAGTTGGACTCGTTATAACACTTTTCAGTGATGGTAGGTGGTAAAGTTCCTAAAAAGCGCATAGATGATCAGAGTATTGCTATTTCAATAAAAATCTCCTAGAAAATAGACTATTGGAGAAAACAATATGAATAATGTATCTTTTTAAATAAATTATTTTATTGTAGGCTCTTACAATTTCTTTTTTTAAATTTTTTTATTTAATTTTTAAAATTTTTTTGGCTCTTACAATTTCTCAACATTATCTTTCTTCTTGAGCCCTTTGATTTCAGCTCCTCTTTTTCCCCTCCCTCTCCCACCCTACCATCCCTGCAAAACTCTTAATATATTATATTATATATTATTATTATTTATACATATCTTACACCGCCCATTTTATCACTTCACCTAGTACCCTGGTATTCTTCCCCTGAGGGGAGTTATTCTGCTGTCATTGCTATCCATTTCCCTTCCTGCCCTTCCTCCCCCTTCCCTTCCCTTATCCTCCTGGAATCTTTACTCCCATTACTGTTTCTGAGGGGGGTTGTCTTTTTTGAATTCTGTATATGGAAAGCTCTCGTCTGTGCCACTGTCTGTACACCAGTCTAGCAGAAAGTGAAAGATTGGACTGAGATCATAATACTGGGGGAGGAAGGACTAAAGAACTAAAGGAGTATTGCCCCTTTGGAAAGTAAAAGAAATAGAGGAAAAAGCTAGGAGGCAAAGGGCCTTTATAGAGGTCTAAATAAAGGCATGTACATA